AATGAGCGTATTTTATTCTCGCTAGTAGCGTGCTGACGATTGCGGATAGTGCGCGTAAAAGAGAGTGACGATACAATGAAAATGAGGGGAAGATACAGAGGACAACCTGGCAAGGCGAGGACGTCGGGAAAACGAGGCTCGGAAGTGTAGCGAGGCGAATGGTACGGAGGCGACTCGGAGTTGGTTTGGTTGGAGGTTGAACGCCGAACCAAATGACGCGATATTGTCGGAACTGTGTTCGCGGAAATGCGACTGCAATAATACATCAAATCCCTTACGATTCGAGGTGCAGTTATAATTGATAGACTACACGATATATTGTGCTACTGTAGTGCAAAATGGATATATGATTAAAGAAAAACCCTTCGCTATCCAATCATTCTCAATCCATCGAGTGAAGTCACTACAAATTGTAAAACCTATCAACCATAAACTCTGAAGCAATTTCCAATTGCAAAATTTTACTCGAGAAACTACCTGGCGATGGGATGATGAGACTACGGGATGATGGTGTGATGGGATGATGGTGTGATGGGATAATGATGTGATGGGATAATGATGTGATGGGATAATGATGAGATGGGGCAATGAGGTCATGGTGTCTTGGGGTGATGAGAAGACGAGATCAAGGGAGTGCCTTTTCTACATCAAAAGGTGGACACAAGAGACAATAAAGTCCCTATGTCAGTGTTGGCAAGCCATGCGGCAAATGTGAGCACATGCCATACAAGACACTACTAACCTCATTGTGGAGATGAGTGATCGCTGACGGGTGTGTGAGCACATAGATGGTAGGGGATGGATGGATGGATGCTGCTGGTTGTACCATGCACAACTGTGGGTGATTGGGGGGAAGGATGGCCAGAGAGAGGTCGAGAGAGAAAGAGCGAGCAGTAAAGAGGATGCAAGATAGGCAGATTGGACGCTATTGGCTGAACTGTGTTCATGTGTACAGGTGGGGATAGCAATGCGAAGGGGATGGGGGAGGGGAAGGAGAAGTGGATGGGGAGTGTGAGGTGAAGTGGATGAGGGGACAACGATGGAGAGTAAAGGCTGCACTACACCCGCCTGGTGTGCAATCAGAAGAAGAGGGACGAATGGAAGAGGCTGGTGAGGTGGGTTACAGAAAGAAGCAGTGAGTGATGGGAGGAGGGTGAGCAGAAGGAGCGATGAATCTAGCGTGATGGTCCCTGTAATTCCTGTAATCCCTGTAAGGAGCTGGCTGGGGGAGGGGAGGGGGAAGGGAGGGAAAGGAGGGAAAGTGGCAGTGGCTTATAAGAGGTATGTGGGAGAGAGATGGTGCTATTGGGTCATGAACATGTGGGCCAAAAGCGGGTATATGAGAAGCAGGTGCGAAGCTGAGGGGGGAGGGTGGGGAAAGGACGGTTTCAGTGTGTTGGAGACACGGACGCAAGGGGGAGGGATGTGGGAGAAGCAGGGGCGGAGGTGAGAAGGAGGGAAAGTGGTTAAGCCGAATGGGAACGGGGAGAGGAAGAGGCAGAGCCTCTGTGAAAAATGTGTTTGTGCAGTATGGGGGGGGGGAGATGCCAGGGGGCCACAAGTCTCTGTTTGTGGGATACACATGCGAGGTTGAATGGATGGAATGTGGCGGGTGATGCAACTGGGGCTGGGTGGCTTCCTGCATGCATCTTCAACCAACCCAACCCCCCCCCCCCCCCCCCCCCCCCCCCCCCCCCCCACCTCCTCCCCCCCCTCCCATCTCACCTTGGCAATATCCAGACTGCCAATCAGGCCGACAATCAGGCCGACAACCTGCCGCCCATCGGTAACACCCCATGCATCCTCTATAGCCTCCGCCCACCCACCCCAGCAGCACTCCCCTTCCTCCCCTCCTTCACTCCCCTTCCTCCCCTCCTTCACTCCCCTTCCTCCCCTCCTTTACTCCCCTTCCTCCCCCCTCCTCCCTCACTCCCCTTCCTCCCCTCCTTCACTCCCCTTCTTCCCCTCCTTCACTCCCCTTCTTCCCCTCACTCCCCTTCCTCCTCTCCTTCACTCCCCTTCCTCCCCACCTTCACTCCCCTTCCTCCCCACCTTCACTCCCTTCAACCCACCTTCACTCCCTTCAACCCACCTTGAGTTGATAGGGAGCGATGTGCCTCTCAATCGCCCCCCAATCATCCCACCCTTTCGTTCTGCATTTTTTCAACCCCCTTCATTCACCCTGCCTTCTTTCCGCCTCATCAGCAGCCCCCCTCTCACTACCACCCCCCCCCCCCCCCCCCCCCAACCCCCCATCCCCACCCCCCCTTCACCGCCGCTTCACCCCCCTCCGACGACCCGCCTCCGCCTTTTGAGACAACCCATCATCCGCCTTCTCTCGCACGATCCGCCTCCTAAACCTGCAATGCCTTCTTTCCAGTCGCGCGTCTGAAGGTGAAGCCGGGTCTCAAATTCTCATATTCAAATTCGCTCGAAGATGGAGGTCTATTTCGGTGCAGCTTCCGATCGCTATACCAATCGCAATGTCCCGCAGAGGCAGCGATGCTGCTAGTCTAGCCACAGCCGCGCTCATGATTCGCTCGGAATTTACTGATACGCGACTTAGTAGCAATGGGAAATTCGAGAATTTACTGATACGCGACTTAGTAGCAATGGGAAATTCGATTGAAGTATTTCGTGACCAGGAAAAAGGAAAGTTAGAGATTTGACACGGGGGATAATGTAGGTCTCTGTAGGTGGCTCGAAGAAGACGTGGGTCACTACCGACCTCCTATCAAACATCAAGTGGAATAGGCGGCTCGAGCGTCAGGTCTAGGACGCAAGGGTATTGCAAAATTATACGCACCTACAGTCCCGTAAGCTACGAGCCGAACGGAAGTGACAGTCTAGGAACCATCTAAATGTGTAGGAGAAGCTTGAAAGCACTCCCTTATCTATTCTAGCAGGCAAAGGGTGGGCCGCCATGGCTCAGTGGCAAAATTGATGACTCCTGCCTGCCTTCATTCAAGCAGGCGAGGACTTCGAGTTTGTCAAATCTCGACGGTGGTAACAAACCGTAACCGTTTGGAGAAATTCAGGGCCCAGTTCGGCAGGCATTATGGCCATTATCGCCATTATCGGCCATTTTAACGGGCCCCCAAAAAATGGCCCCAAGAAACAGACTGTAGCTGCAGTGAAACTTCGGAAAAAATGGTCCGAGTGTTCGTTTGGCATTAAATCGGCCAAAAATAATGGCACCAGTCGGAAATGACACTTCGGTGAAGCCTGTATGCAGCTGCACTGATAGAGCGTGGAATCACTGTACGGGCAGCCCGGGCAGCCTCGCAAAGCAGCGGTGGACGTCGGAAAAAATCGCACAAGGCATACTGTGCGTTCGATGTGTTAGAGATGGTGTGTTGGTGATGTGCGATTTTCCAGCGGGCACGAAGAGGGGTGAGAAAGACCGAGATTTGTTTTTTTCAGGGCAAAGTTTGATTTCCCCGAATCAATGATCCCCCGCATGGTGCGGGGCCTCGAGGCCGCATGGTGCGGCGGATGAGAAAATGGACAGTTTGCCTGAGAAAAAGGGTTCGAGGAAGGTTCTTCTTGTGAAAAATGCCAGCGTTAAAAGGGGTGTTCGGCTGGCATTCCATTATTGTCTGGTTCGGCGATGATCCGCTTATATCGAGCCTAGATAACCTTTCGCGCGCTTATCAAAGAAGGTTCCAGGGTGGTCGGTTTACTGTAGCCCATACGGGGGAACCGTTTTTTAAAGCCTGCCGAACAGGGCCCAGATTTTTCCCAACCTATACAGGTCACGCCAGACCAGGGTCGAAGCCTGATTGGGGGATGGCAGGCGAAGAGCGTTTCGCCAAATTGGGTTTCATTTTGGCCAAGGCCAATAGCGACGAACACAGCACATCGTGGAAACCCTCGCAAGCACTCTCACATTCCCACTGCAACTCAAATCTTTCCCTTCGTTCCACGCGTTGAAGCGAGTGCAAAAACCTAGAAAGGAAAGCAAGCTCCCTGCACTTGATCCGAGCTTCATCCCAACGGCCTGCATGCGAATTCCAGGCAACGCGAAGCGGAAAGCCAGTCTCGTCCTGGGCTGGCTGAACTGGATCCGATGAATTCAAGGGAGCGACCTTCTTGAACGAGCCAAAGTCGAACTTTAACGCCACCATCGTTCCATTCATATTTAACCTGCGCCGTTGCTGTATCACTTGTTGAACCCAGTGTCGTTTGAGGACGTAAGCTCTTATGTTGAACACGCCTTCCACGCCGTTCACCTTGTTCTCTCTCGATTGATCTCTCATCTGCTCCCATTTCTCCACTGCTGAGCAGATCGCACATGAGCAGTTAATCGCGCAGATCGGACCCACTCCGTTACTAGTACCGACTCTCTCCGTGAGTGTGCTACTTCTTTCATCGTAACGCTTCTTGGAGCCAACTGAGCCCACATCTCAACTTGTTTTCGTTCCTTAGCCCATTATCTCGCAGTGATAGTTTCATCTTCTATTATGGAGTCTCACAGTGTGAGCACGAGCATCAATTGTCTACCAGACGAGCTTCTCTTTACGATCCTGAGGCGTTCTTTCAAACCACTTGCTACATGCGAGTCTTACATTAGTAGCCTGTGGACCTCCAGTCGCCGTTTCTTACCTTTAGATGAGCCTAGAGACGAAGCAGATCTTCTGTTAATCAAGACGCCCGTGTCAGCCCCCTCTTCACTTGGTGACGCGGCTCATAAACTCTGCATCGCGTCCGTCTGCTCTCGTTGGCGCCACCTCGTGAAGCTCCACGTGACCACGCTATTCGTCAAAGGAGACAATCCGGTGTCCCGTGAAGATCTCTCAGCCGCCGTCGCGTGCTTCGCTAACCTCACCCATCTGCATGTCAGCGACAACAGCGCCGAGTCGCTTAACGACGCGTTTCTTGCTCACCTCGCTCTATCATGCCCGAAACTGACGGCTCTCCACGTGGGAACGAGCGTTGCACGGCGATTGCGCATTGACCGTGACGGCTTGGTAAAGTATCATCTTAAAAAGAAGCACCGCATGACAACGGAGGTCTTGGATTTGTTTTTTCAGGCGCTTCCTGAATTGGAGCTGGTTACCCTCTTTTGCCAAAAAGCAGAATTACCGAATTCCTTCTTTCAGTTGAGACGACTGCACACCTTTTTTCTAACCGACGCTTCAGCCATGCAGAAACCCGGTTTCACCAACCTCACTGGCCTTACCACCCTGCACATCACCTTCCTCATGAACCATCGGCACCTCTCCAACCTCCTTCACCTCCCACGGCTCACCCGTCTCTTCACCTCCGCCCTTCACCTAAGCCATCAGCCGGCAGGTGCTGAAAGTGTGACGCTGCCGTCCTGCCTAAAGTCGCTCAGCTTCTTTTCATCTTGTTCCGGTTTCACTACCATCTTCCCATCAGCATGGCTGTTCACTGCGTTAGAGGAGCTGCTCATCAGCAACTGCAGTGAGCTTGAGACCCTCCCTGACGACATTGGAGACGTTCTGCCGTGTCTTCGCAAGCTGATCATTCGCCAGTGCAAAACATCCGTTCACCTACCTGAAAGCTTCACCTTGCTGAGCCATTTGGAAACGCTCGTCATCTCTAGTGTGGTTACATTGGCCTTACCCAGCAACTTTGGCCACATGCCTGCCCTCAAACTGCTGGTGCTGGAGAAATTGCATTTCACCGAACTCCCTCCTTCCTTTTGCCATCTCACATCTCTTGAAACGCTTTTCCTAGTTGATTGTTTCAACCTTCAGCAGCTGCCAGCAGGGTTCTGCAGCCTCACGGCTCTCAAGGCGCTCTGCTTTTCAAAAACGTATCGTCTTGCATTGCCTGAGGACGTTGGGGCTCTTGCGAGCCTCAAGGCTCTCAAGTTGCATGCCTGCCAGGAACATCCCCTTCCAGCTTCCTTCACCCAGCTGTCTGCCCTCACGAGCCTTGAGCTTAATGCATGTCGCTTAGGGTTTCCAGTCCCCCTCCCGGAAGCCTTGGGAGAGCTGAGCAGACTACAAGAGCTGAAGATTATTGAGCTTTCAGTCGCCACGCTTCCTAGCTCACTGATACAGCTTACGAGACTTCAGACCTTAGAGGTTAGAGGCTGCAGGTTGCTTGAAGAAGTACCCACGAGGCTGGATATGCTCCTGGGGCTTAAGAGGCTCGAAATGACGGCATGTCCGAGGTTGACTGTCCCCCCTGCTGGTTTGCCCCCCTCTCTTGAGACCCTCTGTTTGGGGCCCTTCTGGGGAGCCTCTTCCCATGTGGTGGACATCTCCCAGCTGTCGCACCTGAGGGTGCTGAAGCTGAACCGCGTTGGGGTGACATGCGGGCCTGCAGTGGCCAGCAGGTTGTCGTGTCTGGAGCAGCTGGAGCAGCTGGAGATGCGGTTGGGAGGGGACAGTTGCGAGCTCCCAGTCCCCGTGACTTTGATTTCTCTCTGTCACCTGCGCAGCTTGCTCATAGATGTGCCGGGACTCTGCAGCCTCCCGGAAACCATGGCGGCAGCGCTGCCAGAGCTGCGGCAGCTGGAGCTTCGTTCCTGGATGCCAGAAGAGCTGCCCGGAGGGATACTGGAGCTGCGCTCGCTGACCTCTCTGAGTATCAACGCACCTCGGCTGACGGTGGTACCTCAGGGCATGAGCCGCTTGATTCGGCTGCGCATACTGGAGCTGATTCGCTGCAATGCCTTGCAGCACCTCCCAGAGTTTCTCACCCAGCTGCACCGGCTGATACTGCGTGACACCCCCATCTCGTCCCTTCCTGCAAATCGCATGCCAGCTGATTGAAAGGCCTTGAGTTGGTTGCTTGCCTACAGCTGGAACTCTCTGAGAGGACTATGTCTGTTGAAGGCACTGCAGTAATTCAGTGCTGGCTGATGCTGGATGGAATTTCGTCTTTGACGCTGGGCCTGCACCTGGGAATCTGGTGCCAGGGTAGATGAATCAAATGTGTGCTAGGCAGTTTTGTGACTGGTAGTGTGCTCTCTGAGGATTTAGGTTGTGTCCCCCTGGTTTTTCTTGGATCGCTATAAATGTTTTTCCACTTCCGTTGTGCGTAGGATGCCTTCTCAGACACGTTAGTGGGAACGCTGCAATACTGTTGGGGATACGTTAAGTCTAGGCTTGTTACCATCAGTGGACCAACCCAGTGTATCAAGACAAATAGACATCTGGTTGTCAATGCTGCCAAGGAGGGCAAATGGCCGCTACAGCACCCATTACAAGTAAATATTTACGGTGCACGTCATCTGAAAAAACCACATAATTCTCATTTTGTCGTGGACTCTTAACAGGATTACTATGTCCAGTTTCCCCATGGTAGCTGCAGCACAACCCGAATATGTCTTGATTCCTGAGGTACGAGAAGCTGAACTGGGAGACAGTGAGAGTTGGATGGGCTGAGATTGCAAAGGGGACTTGGGATATGAAAGGAGGGGGTTAGGGAATGCAGCAGAGGGGTATCCTTGGCAAAGGTGAAACCGTGGGATACTTTTGAGAGAGGCTTCATGGTAAAGCAGGAGCTCTCGAGGCTTCATGGTAAAGCAGGAGCTCTCGAGGCTTCATGGTAAAGCAGGAGCTCTCGAGGCTTCATGGTAAAGCAGGAGCTCTCGAGGCTTCATGGTAAAGCAGGAGCTCTCGAGGCTTCATGGTAAAGCAGGAGCTCTCGAGGCTTCATGGTAAAGCAGGAGCTCTCGAGGCTTCATGGTAAAGCAGGAGCTCTCGAGGCTTCATGGTAAAGTAGGAGCTCTCGAGGCTTCATGGTAAAGCAGGAGCTCTCGAGGCTTCATGGTAAAGCAGGAGCTCCCGAGGCTTCATGGTAAAGCAGGAGCTCTCGAGGCTTCATGGTAAAGCAGGAGCTCTCGAGGCTCCAAGAAGTGAGTTGCCAGTTCAGTTTATATGTCACGAGTCACAGTACAGTTTCGGAAGTTTGATGCGCCGTCGTCATTCAGATTCAAGAGGTGTGCAACGCCGTGGTATGTGCTTGCACATTGACATGTAGATATGAGTCGTTTGATAGTCATGCTTGGGTGATGATGCACGCATGGTCATGTATGGGTCTCCATGAATGATTATCTCTGCTTATGCATTTTGAGACATGCAGCGTGGTCTATGGATTCAGCGATACTCATTATAAGGATCGACTTCTGAGAGATGCATCAGTGGTATTCATACCGAGTGATGAATGCTGAGAGAGATTGATCACAGATGTTTGTTTTGATTGGTAACTTGTGAGAGATGCACGCCGTCTGAGAGAAATTCCGAGATGCATTTTGAAAGTATATCGAGATGCATGCTGAGATATGCATTCTGAGAGATTTACGCTGAGAAATTCATTCTCAGTCATGCATTCCAAAATGTGCATTCCAAAATGTGCATTCTGGAATTTGCAGAATGTTTTATGTGATGGGGCTATTCAGCATGCTTAGTATCATGCTTCGGTACCGAATGCGAGTCATCATGCCATGAGAAATGTAGAATGCAGTTTGTCATTCTATCGTGTCATTCAGCATGAAACTCATCGTGGGTTGATTCATTCATATTCAGCATTTTTTTTTTTTTATTTCATTAGAAGTTAGGCATTGATTACATCATGGCTTGAAACACTCATCGTGCTTATTGTCATGCCATGAGATTTCGAACATCCAGACTATCATTCTTTGAAGTGTCCATTTCGTAAACTATTTATGCTGTGTTACAAAATGGGTTAGGTGTGTGACTCACATGTGTGATTCAGGTGAATGTCGCTCAGGTGGGAGACTCAGGTGGGTGGCTCAGGTGAGAAGCTCAGGTGGGTGGCTCAAGTGGGTGGCTCAGGAGTGTGACTCAGGTGGGTGATTCAGGTGTTTGACTCAGGTGAGAGACTCAAGTGGGTGGCTTAGGTTGGTGACCAGATGGGTGACTGATTTGGGTGACTCAGGTGGGTGACAGAGAAGAGGTGGAGAAGACTCACTCGCAAAGGAACCACAGACACCATCGTTTGGAACACCTGCCCCCCCTCTCCCTCCCCCCCACCCAGCTCTTGCAGCGGCTGTTTCAACGGGACCTGCTGCTTGTGTCGCCGTACCCACAGCTTCCTCCCGCCCACGCACCAGCACTAGCTATGGTACTGTGGGGGACATGGCAGCAGAGGTACTGTGTGCCCCGAGCAGCTGGTACATGGCGTTGTGATACAAGCTGGCTTGTATTGCGGATCCCAATGCCAACTTTCAAGCAAGCCCCTTTACATTTCCTGTACCTTTTCCTGCAAGCTTGCATATACAAGCAGGCCCAAATGAATCAGCTGCTTGGATGATTGTTATTAGTGCCGGTTCTTACAGCAGCTGATAGCGGTAGAGGTGTGGATGGAGCACAGCAGTGACAACAAGAGACCGCCAGAGCAAATCCCCAGTGTGCTGCCACGGTCGCCTGCCCCCAGGGCGTGGGCGCACTCACTACCAACGCACTATCCCTCTGCATGGCCTTCCTCTCCCCCACGGCATGGTTGCGCTGACTGGCAACCTGCGCCCAGCAGCAGGTTAGTAGCAGGTCAGTCTCAGGTCAGTCTCAGGTCAGTCTCAGGTCAGTCTCAGGTCAGTCTCAGGTCAGTCTCAGGTCAGTCTCAGGTCAGACTCAGGTCAGTCTCGTGCCAGTCTGATTTCAGTCTCAGGTTAATCTCTGATCGGTCTCGAATATGGTTGAGCAACTTGGTCGAACCAGTCCGTTTGTCAAATGCAACCAGGTCAATCGAATCGAGTCGAAATTGCGGTTCAAACTGAACCGGTTCCGCCACCGCTTTCTCCGTTCCCATCCCCTTTTGCATTTCTTCCCAGGGCCTGCCGCCTCCCACATCCCGTTCCCCTCGCAGCGTCCCCATTCCCATCCTGATTCCCATCCCCATTGTCATCCCCTGCCCCCCCTTATGTGCAAGTGCTGACAGCAGCGGCCATCGCTCTGCTCCAATCTGCCTATCCTGCACCCACTTCACTTGTATCTATCCCTCTCCCTCTCTTGCCACCCTTCCTCAACCACCCAACAGGTGTGCATACTTCATTCCTCCAATAGCATCCATCCCCTGCCGCCTGTACAGTCATGCATGATCACGACAGCTTCACTCATCTCTCCACTGAGGTCATTAGTCCCTGTATCAAACTTACCTCTACCGAATCAGGTCGGTGCTCTCATTTGTCGCCTGGTGCGCCACCACTGCCATTGGCACCTCATTGCCTCTTGTGTCCACCCTGTTTTGACTCGACCCTAAACATCACCCGGTGCGCCACCACTGCCACTGGCACCCCATTGTCTCTTGTGTCCACCCTTTCAATGTGGAGGCGACAGTCCCTTGATCTCACTGCCCCTTGATTTCACCGCCCCTTCATCCTATTACCTCATAATTCCACCACCCCATCACCCCTGTACCCCATCGCCTATCATTCCATCTTCTCCCCACCATGCCCTTGCATTGCCTATGGCCCGCGCTGCATTGGTTGGTGTGAAACAGCTTTGGCAGGTCACTGCCTACCCTGCCCCTTCATGTGCCCAACTCCCGTACCTGCATGAGGCACAAACAACGGTGTGAGGATAAAAACCAAATGAGCCCCAGGTGTCATGGTCGTCTCATCAACTGTACGAGACTGCCGAGATGCCGGTAACAAAAGACAGTCATCAGTCAATGGAAACAGGCGGTCGTGAGGCAGTCAGTTAGTTTTTGAAACAAGACGGTCTAAACATGTCGGTTCGGCCGAACGTGTAACAGAACAGCGACATGGCGACCATCGAGTACACAACTCTGCACGTCTAACTTATGTTTAGATAGACCTAGCTCTGCACTCATTTCCTTTCTGTCGGAAACCTTATACAGGGATATGGCAACAAGGTCAAAACGATACTACTGTACTAGGGTCACTCAGTCTAAACTTAAATACAACCACTCGGAACTTAGAAGGAACTGAGTAGGTTGTAGACCCTAGCTTATTTCCCAAACGTTCATTCTATTCAATAACTGATGCACAGCATTGATACTCCCCTTCGATGCCTTAAAGTCATCTGGAGATGGTAACAAATCATAATATTGCAAAGTACCTTTGATTGTAGAGATAACACCGTATCTGATACCGCACCAGCCAATATGGTTCAATCCCCTTCCATTCCCGCTGACTGACGCGTTGAATGATGTCGCGCATTTTCAACGCTTCGGTCGCACATTTGGGTGTGAGCCAACCTCTGCGATTACCCAGTCAAACCTCGACTTGCAGTTTCTGATGGCAGGAGCGTAGGCCTTAGCGGCGCTCGAGCCCAGGCCTTGGCTCCTGCCTTTGACTCTCCTACAAGTAGCCATTGACTCTCCTAACATCCCTAACACTCACCACCAGCTTCTATTTCATCGACTTCCTTTCCTTCACCCTAACTCCAGGCTCCAAACCAGAGCGACAAATACAGTTGGAGACCATTTCTCGACACCACTTCCATTACAGCACAACACCAGCCATGGCAGTCAGAGCGCTCGTCCTCTCGTGCGTGCTCCTCCTCGTGTCGACGTCTGCCTTGGCGCAGCGTGGTCCGCCTGGCGGAGGTCCTCCCGGCGGTCAGCGCGGAGGCCCTAGCGCCGGTTCCGCCGGTTCCGGCGGGCCTGGCGGGCCTGGCGGGCCCGGCGGACCGCACGGGCCTCCGCTGAATCTGACGGCCGTTGGGAATCTGACGGCCGATATCGGCGCGCGACTCGCCAACTGCTCCGCGGATCAGACGATCCTTGACGACCGATTCCACCTCGCCGTCTTCAAGTAGGACTCGCTGCCTTCCTTTCCGTCGCA